ATGTCAGAATCATCCCAAACTTCTTCGCGCCGTACATCTTCCGAGAACAAGAAGGCCCAGGAACGATGGACTAAAGACGAGGAAAAACTGTTTGTCCAACTATGGGCTGAAAAACACGATCAGTTGGAAAGCAGAGAGTGCAGGAAAACGTGGGCCTGGATCGCTGAGAAGATTTCGAAAGCACTACAGTCCAACAAGATGGCCGACAAATGTATTCGGAAAATGAAGTACATCATAGAAAGATACAAGAATGCAAAAGATTGGAACAAAAACCAAACAGGAGGAAACCTTAGGAAATCGGTCTACTACGATGAGGTCGATAAGATCCTTGGATGCCGCGACCTAGTAACCTTCAATAATGTAGCCGAAGCGGGGATCAGCGGCGAAAGTGCCCCCCAAGTTGTAGCTGAATCAAGTGATACTACTGGCAAGAACAGTACTTCATCTAGCCCCAATGTGCTACAAAACTCCAGCTGAAAAGAGAAGAGCATCAAAGAAAGGGAAACGAGCTTCAAAACGCAAAGCTCCTGATAATGACAGCGACGAAGAGTTCAAGATGGCTGTAAAGGATATGAGGCAGCAGGGGGAGAAAGTTACAGCATTTATGGATTCTTTGCAACAATCACAGACGCAGCAGCTAGCCATGATGAACCAATTTATGGGCTCCATTGTGAAAATCCTTGGCCAACGGAATGAGAAAGACAACTGAACTTTAATTCAAGACTGTTTTGGACTATTGGGAGACAATCATTATCGACCATTATCAAAAGACATGTTATTGTTTATGTTGCGAATCGATCAAACGAAATTATGGAAACAAATGAATGTACTACTTGAACTGATTTCTTGCTGTAAATGCAAAAATTATCTTTATCACACACTTCTCTTTAAAAATCTGAACAATAAATCTCTGTAAAATTGCAGGAAAATTCAATACGGTGATGGAAATCGTTTCTTATGATTCAACAATCGCATGTTGAGCACAAATTACAATGCAATATTTTTATAGTATTTTCTCGTTGATTTTCTTCAATTTTCTTTGTGAAATATAAAATACAGTATAAGTTTAAGTTCGAAGAATTAAATAATTAAAAAAAGGATTTGAAGAATCATAGACTGTTTTTTAGCAACTCTCTTATATCTTCCCCGTCCTGCATTAAGTCATTGTTCTGTTCGTTTCCGCGGTCATCATCGTCATCGTAAAAATCATCCTCCCATTCGTCCCCAATTTTAATGCAAAAGTTATGCAGCACTGCACAAGCAATGGCAATCTTCACAGAAAAAGTTATTCTGCTATCCAACCGCTTTTGTAGAATTCGCCAACGACTTTTGAGGCAGCCAAAAGCGCACTCGAGGGTTACTCATGCAGACGACAGTTCCTTGTTAAATGTTATCTCGCCAGGGTCACACGTCGCTTCAGGATAAGGCTTCATACGCCAGGGGGAAATAGGGTATGCGCTGTCTCCTACCAGGTAAGGCTGAATATCTGTGATGCCGATTCTTTCAACAGGTTCCTTGAGTATATCTCCGTTGCTTGCTCTTAGATAAAGCGAGCTGTTTCGATATACCCTAGCGTCGTGGATACTTCCCAGATAACCCGTTGCAAAGTCAAGAAATAATCCTTTACCGTCAGCAACGGCCTGAATAATGAAATCATGTTGCTGATTTCGACTAAAATAATCAACAGCACTGTCTCTAGGAGCAACTATTTTGATATGAGTGCCATATGTTTGGAAGTCGTGATTTGTCCGTAAATGTCTCTATACACCTCATTGTCTCGGCCACTGTTGTTGGGAATTCGATGTACTCTTTCCTTAAGTCATAAAGAGCCTCAACCACGTCTTGACAAGCCTCTATTGCTGTAGTTCTGCCGACGTTTAGCGCAGGTCCTATTGTTTCGTATGAATTTCCGTGTGCAAGGCAAAGCAAACCACAAGCAAGGACCTTTTCAGGAGTGAGGCAATTTCGCAGAACTGTATTCTGTCTCGTCAGCCAGTTACGAATTACGTTGAGCAACAAATCAAAGCTTTCTCTGTTCATTCGTAAGAGCCATCGAAAGTAGTCCCCAGGTATTGTTCGATCAGTATAATGGATCTCGAACCACGATTCGACTGGACGAGGAAGAGTCCAATAGTATGGTGCTCGTCTTCGACGAATACATCGTGTCACTAGAATGTTTTGTTAAATTAAATTGATATTGATATTTGCTTGCTGATGAAGAACCAGAAAATAGAAGAAAGATATTACTGCTAGAATTCTTTGTGGAAACATTTTGAGATCCCTCGTGTCGCGGTTTGTGGATTGAAACAGTGGGTAAAGGCTGCTTCGCGGGAAATTGCGTGACGCTCACAGCATGGTGTGATGTTTTGTTCACAGATTTTGTTCTCAAGTGCGACTGTAGCGTTCTGGACAAATTTTTTGTCACTGGCCGATTTCAAGTAAGATTTGTCCTGGACAAATCTGAAATTGACCTGTAGTGCGACTTGGCCCTTACTAAATT